AGATTTGAGGGGCTCTGTTTTGCTTTCTTGATTTTCTCAAAATGTAACAAGTAAAGCTACTTTATGCTTGATTTTTGACCATCATTCTTTCACAAAACTGGTATTAAGCCCTGAATTAAAACAATAAGCATGCCTGTATACCAGCATTAAACAATCATTTAAAGCTGGCCAGTTAACTTCTCCCCTGCTCCTTTTGGCAGTATTGCATGTTGAAGCTACCAATAGCCAACTTCTGAAATTAATTTTTCTTTTTCTTTTTGATTGCTTAGGTGGTTTTTGTTTTTCTATAATTAATTAATGGTTGTTGAAGATAAGATTGGAATAAAAACACAGGATAAAGGAAGTAGTTTCATTATACAGGCATGGAAACTTAGGTTTTTTAAATTGGTTCAAAGGTGTAAAGTTGTTTGGACATTATAAGATATACCCATTTTGTTTCATACTTTAAAAATGTGGTAGTAATACTTGGATTTGCTTAAATAAATCAGCTAATCTGAAACAGCCCCATGTTACCTTACCTTGAATCACTTCAGCTACTTTTGGAAAATGTGTTGAAACAGAGAACAATGGGCTTGTCGTGTGCACCCGGCTTAAGATCTTTCGATGGTATGTTACTTCGGGTTAAGAAAGAAGGGGGCTTTTAACTGGAAGAGATAACTCGAAGAGAGAACAATGGGCTTGTCGTGTACACCCGGCTTTCAATCAAAATTCAAATAATGGCTAAATACTCTAAAGTCAGAGTCCCAGAGATAACTGGAAGAGAGATCCTCAAGATGACATCCGCCTTCAAACCACTATCACACCACATAGAATGTTGCTCTCCATTTCACTCATCATCAAAACATAAATTGCCTCATAGTAAAGTGCATATGCATTCTAAGGTATCAAGATTCGAACACAACAAACCAACTCCAATATAGAACTCCGATAAAAATCGAGCACATAATGAAACATGTTATTCCCATAACACACCCAAGTACGATTTCGAAACACAGCTATAAGCATCCACAGAACACAGAACGAAACAAAGGTACATGCCGATCCCAACAAGTTTGCCAATCTTATACTAACAAAATTCAATACACGGGATTCACCTCCTCCTCCGGCTCCTGGAAGAAAAACCTCCATCCTTCTTCGACTTTGCCATCAACAATGCCCTTTCTCTCTCTTTCTCTGATTTCTCTCTCTTCAACCTTTCCTCCCTCAACTCCTCCAATGTCTTCTTCCCACCACTCTTTTTCTTCTCCTTGCGTTTACCATCGTAATATTCTTCCCCATCGTCATCATCCTCATCCACATTTTTCTCGTCCGCCACTCTCTTCTCCATATACCACGGCAATTTCACTCCTTTCCCGGCAACCCCATACCCCAACCTATACTTCTCATCCTCGGGCCCAACCGTCCGAACCTCCTCCTTCTTCACCTTCTTACGCCTATCATCCTCACTGCCGAATTTCCGCTTCTTTTCCTCTCGTTTCCCATCGCCAGCTTTAACCGGGTCGAAAATCCGGATACCTTCGAATAAATTAATGTGCTTGGCATCGGACTCGGATTTCAAGGGTTCGACGACGGGTTCCGGCAGAGCAGGGGAGGGGGAAGGTTGTTCTTCGGCGGATCGGGCCGAGGCTTGGCCCGCTGATCCACGGATCTGGCGGAGCTTCTCGAGGCGGAGCTCAGAATCACGCTTCCGGGCTTGCTCGCGTTTGAGCTGCTCTTCCTTGGCGGCGGCCTCCTCGTCGCGGCGGACTTTCTCGCGATTTTCGAAGTTGTAGACGTTCCAGCTCTTCTGCGGGAGGATGTTCAGACCGCCGTGACCGCCCATTGGTTCAGGTAAAAACCCTAATTTGGAAGGGACCTGGAGTTTATGTAACAGTTTAACAGAGACGAACAATTACGGGTCAACGAGATCATCTTTATTATAGAACCACAAAACAATACTAATGCAATTTTTTTTTTAATTATTATTACTAGTACAATACCCGTGTATTACACAGATGATTGTTAAAAAATTACTTTTAAATTTTAAAATTAATGAAAAAATTATATTAAATTTAGTTTATTTTTTTACAAAAAAAATATATTACTATATATTTTAGAATAATATGTGTTACTTATGACTTACATGTGTTATATTATATTAGTTTTTATAATTTATATCATATAACTACTTGAAATATAAATATATTAGTTGATAAATAATTTTATTTTTATAATTAATATTAAAATTATTGTTATAAAGATAAATATAAATTATTATTTTTATACATACAATATGAATGTTAAATCGAAACTCATCAAAAGAATATTAATTTGATATATTACATATGTAAAATTTATAAAAAATACAAAAGTTATTAACTTTTAAAATACATATACAATTCAATAGTTACTAGTACAACACCCGTGTATTACACGGGTGTGTCTAATTTTTGTTAAAATATAAAATTAATAAAAAAAATAGTAAAAAATCTAAATACCTTTTATAAAAATATATATAATATTATATAGTTAGTATGCCATTTTTTATTTGTGCGACTTACATATGTTATACTGTACTAAGTTTTGTAACTTACAAAAAATAACTACATCAAACATAAATATATCAATTTATAAATAATTTTATTTTTCTAATGAATTTTAATAAATATTATTATTTTTTATTATTATAATGATAAATATAATTTATTTATTTCATATATACAATATGGATGTCAAATCGAATATCATCAAAAGATGATTAATTTGATATATTATATATGTAAAACCGATAAGAAATACAAAAGTTATCAACTTTTATAGTACATTTACAATTCAATAGCTAATTGGAGGAAACAAATCAAAAGTCGGGATACATTAGTAACTTAGTGCCCCACTATATAAAATACAAAGAATTAAAGGGTTATATTAGTACAGTTGATATTAAAATACCTAAGTTAGCTAAATAATATTTATTGAATGTCCAAACCTAAATTATTATTTATTAATATATCAATATTATTTGTCCAAACCTAATTACGAAGCATGATTCTTCGTCAAGTAGGATTACAAAGCACCAGGAGTAACCACGTAGGCTCAGCGCATTATATATAGGGAGGATAATAAAGAATGATATTAAAATGCAATTAATGCATATAACATGACCATAAATAATCAACATATTTATGGTAATCCGAACCTAATTATTTTTGGATTGGAATTAAATTAAAATTTACCCAAGCCTAATAACGAAGCATGTAATTTTGCCACATAAGGTTCCGAAGCACCAAAAACAGCCACGTAGACTCAACACGTTCTGCATTAATATACAGGGGAATTAGTTTGGTAATTTGATTAATTTGATTTTAAAAAAAATGTAACATATGGCCTTGTTTGTTTATTGACTTTTTGTCGCATTTTTGACACCATTAACGATTTGACTTTTTTAATCCAAGAAAAAAGACGTTAGGTAAATAGCTTTTAAAATCAGCTTTTTGGGCAAAACACCTAAAAATAAAAACGCTGCATTTTGGAGTGTTTTGAATGGCTTTTTGAGGCAAAAATAATTAAAGTCATAATTGTCATTTTCTCTTTCATGGCATCTCCCCCAACTTCTCTATGAAATCAGAACAAATAAAAAATAGAAGTTTACATATCTTTCAGGTCTTGTATTGAAAAAATTCCAAAACTTCTACTCTTACAACTTCTACAAATTGAAAAAAAAAAAGGAAAAGTCACAGGCTTAGGAGACGACGACTCCATCATGAGAGTATTTCAACCACACGACAACAACATCCGTGGCTGAACTAATTTACGGTGTAAATTAAACATTAAAAAAATAAGATTTTTTTTTTCAAATAAGCTTAAGGACAAATATAATTTAATTTTTTTTTATTATTTAGAATTTTGGGGTTCACACCAATATTGTCCAAATCCCTACAAAGCAGTCGATATTTGTTATTTGATTTGTGTATACGACGTGAACTTAGTTACTTGATTAGAAAATATTTTTATTTTGTTATTGTTTATATTTTTTAGATATTTTAAATAATTTTAATAAACATTTCAAATTTTAATAATTTTTATTTTTTAAATAATTATATGTTCAACATAAATAATAATGATAAAAAGTAAATTGATGTCCTTATAAGTAATTTTATATGTTAACAACTAATTCAAAATAATCTATATATATAATTGTTGGCTCATGAGCATTTAATAAAACCTATTAAATTATACCTATGTGGCAATAAAATTTTTTCCCTCCAAAAACCGTTACTTTTAATTTATTTAACCTCTCATTTAATTATTATATAATCAATATACTAATCACTTCAAAATTACAAAAAATCATTTTAAATTTTGATTTACTTACAGCTAACCATATAATGTGTTGACTATTTATCGTGATTATATGTTATTATTGTGATTATATTTAAATTAACTTCTTTTGAAAAATAAAGAACGTATTTGAAATTACTAAATAAATAATAAATAATTCACAAAGAAAGATACATATCAAAATATATATTACATCCAATATGATAAATGCAATTTAAAAAAATTAATATTTCAACTCCTTTAATTGTAAATTTGGCAAAAATCATTAATCATTATATGCAATAACTCACAATACTTTATTTATATATCTGTGCAAATGCACAAGTCGAATACTAGGTATTTATCAAACCACCTAAGTTACCCAACCCAACCACCGTCGACCGACCGATGCTGTCCTTTACCAATATTTCCTCCACTGTCATTTCAATTTCCGACATAATCCGAACACATATCCAAATTCTCATCACTGCACTGCACAAACGTCAACAAATTTGCATCACCTATGAAGTATGAAATCGTCAACAAAGAAAAACGACCCAATAAATAAAAAATAAAAAAAATGTTGAAAAGTCAGAAACGAAGAGATCAAATTCGACTGTCCGTGCGTGACTGATAATAACCAGAAGGATCCAGAGAGAAAGAAACCTCCGCCTCAGATCACCAGGAAAAAACCTAACCAAACCATGGGCCGACTCGGCTGCACGGCCGTCGGCACCCTCGACGACTCCAAGTTCAACGAGCCCATGCCCTGGATCGGCGCCTACGTCGCCTCCGCCTCCGCCGCCTGCGCCCTCGCCATGGCCGCCGACGCCGCCCACGCTCTCCGCTACCGCAAGCTCTGGTTCCCTTCCCGCTTCTTCTCCCTCAACGCCACCACCCTCACTCTCATTGGCGTCGCCGTCAAGCTCTCCGTCGACCTCAACACCTCCATGCCCCGCCCCCACGACCAGCTCTCCAAGCTCAGCTCCACCGCTTTCCTCTCCACCGCCATCGCCAACTCCCTCCCTTCCCTCGGCTCCTCCTCCTCCTCCTCTGACCTCATGATGAACATCCTCGCCCTCTCCATCCTCGTCATCACCGTCCTCGTCAACGTCGCCATCCAGCTCGCCACCGGCGTCATCTACGTCTTCTTGCCCGAGCACATCCTCATCATCTCCCTCACCGTCATCCTCCTCGGAATCACCATCTCGTCGGCCCTCGCCGTCCCCGCCACCAAGTGCTACTTCGAGCTCAAGTACGCCAAGAAATACGAGCTTGCGAAAACAGAGTGCAGCGGATCAGATCTCAAGGATAACCTCGCGAGGTACTGGATGATGGCCCATACGTGCAGCCCGCAGTTCGTGGTGGGCCGAATGGCCACTTGCACGGCCTCTGGCGCTTACTGCTTGCTGAGTGCTCTGACTTTGGCTGAGGCTGTGCTCCGGAGCTACTTCATGCCGTGGTGTTTCACGTTCTGCAAAGGCCGGTCGGATTATAAGTGGTCGGTTTTGCTGGTGCTTGTGACGCAGGCTGCTGCGGTGTTGGTGGGGACGATTGGGCCGGCTTCCAGATGGTTCTTCGCCATCAAGTTCAGGTAATTGGATTTCGAGTCGATTAAATTTTTGTTCTGTTATGTGTTTAGACATTAAGTAGTATGATTCTGAAATTCGATTCAATGGAGAATTCAGGTGCCCGAAGAGAAGGAAGAATTCTTCCGAAGCAATGTTTTCGGTGGAGAATTACTGGGTTCAGACATTGAAACAACTGAAGGAGTGCCCACTGGACTTGAGGATCTGCAGCCGGCACGGTAAAAAGTTTGTGCACCATGTGAAAAACAAAGCTTTGGATCTATGCATTTTGGTCCAGAAGGTGATTGTGATCTCGAGCAAGTTTCTTGGGATTCTGTCGATAATTACCATGAGCAGGTTAATAGCGGCACTGAGTTGCTGCAAGAGACTCGTCTCTTTGTTTAGATGCAATGTAAAATGTGCCGAAACAGAGTCGTCGGACCCAAGTAAGTCGAACAGCAAGCTCGACCTCAGCCGATACGTAATGCACCTTGAGGGAGAGGAAAATCTGGTTCACGTGATGATGGAATCCGACAGGGACACCACAGGCCACTTCTTGAAAATGGGGAGAAAAAAGCAGCCGAAACACCTCATACATATCATTGAGAAACTCGAACCCTCCAAAGGGTTTGGAGGGGTTTATGCATTCGACAGCAAATTCATCCCGC